ATAATAATAATAATAATATAATTAAAATAATTCATGAGGCACACACGTGATCAGCTTGTAATAGCCCATGGGTAATGCAATTCGATAGTATAACATGACCTGCATGTTCTCCAAGTGATTTACAAATTTTTATGGCTTGGAAAGTAGTTAGACAGGTTCAAGGGCAATAAAACAATAAAATTTAATTATAAATAAACATATAATATTACAAACTTAGAGTTATTTAGGATAAACAAATGTAGTTTCATGTTACAATTTGAAGTCATTCTAGAAAGAAAAAGTTAATTTAGGTATATTTTGATTTTTTTGATGGTCACGAGGTTGGTTTAATTGACCGATCCCATTTTGAGATAGGGTAGAGAAAATAACAGATAAACTATAAAGTTTTACTGAAAAAAACGTTTGAAATGCATTTAGGAGATGCTTTTGTGACAGACAAAGTATAAATCTGTTAATTATAACATTTTAGCAATGGCAAGTAACACCACTAAACTTAATATTCATTATAAAAATTAACAGTACAAGTTTTATTTCACAGTTTTTCAAATTTGTTCAGTATAAATTTTAAATCGGAGGCATCTAGAAATATCAGTTGTAGTTATCATTTAATTAGTCTTTGCAATGTATTTTGTTTAAACTACCTTGTTGAAAAAAATGTATGTAGGACTTTAACTTGTGTGTAACCACTGTAAATTAAGTCTTAAATTTTTCATTTTCATTAGAGTGCTATTGCATGTAGGGTAAACAATGATATATCGTTCAACAGATCTTTTCTTCAGCCAAATGGAAATTATGATTAATTTCTTGTATTCCATTATTAAATGCTTCCCAGTAGCGCAGCAGTAAGTCTGAAGGTTTATAATGCTAAACAACAGGTTTTGATACCTATGGTGGGCACAGCATAAATAGTCTATTGTGTAATTTTGTGCTTAATAAGAAATAAATAAACAAACAAACCTTTATTAAACACATGTAACAGTCTCTTAGAGCAAATCTCATGTACGTGCACAAGAAGTAAATGCTAACTTAACATTTTTATTGAATAATAATTTCATTTTTGAACATTTTTACAATATTAAATACTGTATAGATGTTTTATTGAGTAAAATGTTTTTTATTCTTTCTTGAAATAACTTTAGTTGCACTCTTCTACATCTGTTTATGTTTGGTATAATTTTTTACATGATATAAGCTTGGGGTAAAGTAATTCTTTTTGGCTTAGCAAAGCATTCTAGATTAATTACATTCATCCATAGGAGACAGTGGACCAGATGGGAGACCTGGACTTTATGGGCTGCCTGGGATAAAAGGAGAACCTGGGAAACCTGGTTTATCTACAAGGGGAGAACCTGGAGATAAGGGGCCTTATGGAATACCTGGAGAACCTGGTATTCATGGAATACCTGGACAACCAGGTTTGAGGGGACTAAAAGGATATGGTGGCTCCTCTGGATTAAAAGTTAGTTGTACTTTAGGCAGTTATTATTTTTTAATGTGGTCTTGCTTTAAATTATCACATAACAGTACTTTCTGTAGAGTGGTTTTCTTTTTGAATCTTCACTTGCCTAAAGAAGTTCCATAAATAAAACCATTCTGTTGTGACAAACATACAGAAAATCATCCCTGTAAAAAATTTTTGTTATCACAAACCTCAGTTTTCTTTCTGTTTCTTAATTTGCATTCATTAATTTTTACATCAATGAAATTGTTATCACTTTTCAGTGAAAAATGCATACATTTTGTACCAAGCTCAAATATCAAGCCATTACTCTATGTATAACTGGGTCAAAGTGTGCATGCCACAATCTTTTAGAGTTACATACAAAACTTTATAAACAACTTTATTATCACTGGATGTCAATAAACTTAGCATCAAAATGTAGTTTATACTTGAAATTTTTATCTTATATAAGTGTTAATTTTTATTTCCAAAAGGAAATATTTTTAAAAATTCAAGCATTTATAAGGGTGGTTGGCCTTTAGAATGGGTTACCTTCAGAGAAAGTAAATTTAAGTGAGTTTAATAAAAAGCTTGATAAGTATATGAATGAAAAGGGCTGGGTTTAAATTTTTTTTAAATGATTTTAATTTAGTTTTAAGGATGGAACAGTTGAGATGAACCAATAGGTCCCATGTTATCTCAAAATGTTATGATATGTTATGTTATTTCATTTCATGTGCAGTACTGAGACCAAAATACCCCAACAAAACTGTAAAATTAAAAGAAAAAAATGTGTGAAGATGTTAGAATCTGAAGTTGTTAGAATAATTCACTTTGGTTTGTCTCTTGCAATCTGCATTAATTATAGACAAAAAATGGTATGATTAATTTTATTTCATGTCCTTCAACTTTTCATTTTACTGTTAGATTGATGATTTCACTACAGTTAGTGTTAGGGTAGAGAAAATAAGAGATAAAATAAAAATTATTCTAGCCAGTTATGACAATTGTTTCAGTTTTTTTATTATTATTGTTATTTATTGATTCTTATTTATTTGTTATTAAAATGTGAGAAATTGAAAAAAACTGTAAAATAAAGTTATTTCATAAAAATTGCATTTCAAAGCTAGACTGAGTTTGAAAAAATATTATATTTTCAATATAGGGGGAGAAAGGAGACCCAGGAGATGTTTTTAGGGAAGGATTTCGTGGACCTCCAGGTCCCCCAGGTCCTAAAGGACATCAGGGAGACTTTGGGGTTCCAGGATATCCTGGCCCACATGGGGATGTTGGAAGTCCTGGATTTATTGGACAAAAAGGTAGAATACCATATATACTATTTATGTTGAATATTGTAATATTCATTAAGACTTTGTATATTCATATATTTATGTATGTGTGTATGTGTTTGTATATATACATATATATATATATATATATCATAGAAAGCATTTACATCCGTATATGAGCTCCTGCGAATACTGACTTTAAAGTTGTAACTGCATAGGATTGTATTAAACATACAAGTTGAAATTGTATGCTTAAAAGCTTAAAGTAAATCAACACTAAATGAATTTGATTTTAGGATAAACCATGCTTGTTATTCATGTAGAAATTTCTATGTTTTGTTGAGTAATGGTTTAGATAAATTTTTTTAAAATTATTATTAACTTTACAAGCTGAATGCTTCCACAAAGTGAGACTTGTCACCTGAGGTGGAGAGTGCAAATAAATACAAGGATAAACTTCTGTTATTTAGATCAAATCAGAAATTTATTTTTACCAAATATTTATTTACCATTCTGTAAACTCATTTAATATGTTTAATTTTGTAAAGAAAAATGTGGTATTATACATAGGCATGTACATTTCACTAAAATATAGAATAATCAATATTTGTTATATTATGGTAATGACACAACTGTATCAATGTATCAACAGTTATAAATTACTTCAGAAAGTCAGTTTGTAATATTATAGCTAAGACAAAATTGTGGTAAGATATCAAGAGTTAGAAATAAATTTCACAAAACCAGTGTATGTTAGTTGATTAATGAGGTACATTTTTCTCACAGCAAAATATAATACATCTCACCGACATTTTCAGTAGAAAAACAGTATGTGGAACAATATTCATGAATTGCACTTTATCCCCTAGTCAGTTTCAGGTTAAAGATACTCTAGAACCATATGAGCATTCTAATTTTAACCGTGCAACATTGGTGCCATGTTGTTGTTTTTTGTTGTTATTTATGCACATGAAAGTGAGATATGATGAATTGTGAAAATGTAAATCCACTTATATAAAGATAATGCATGTGCATTTTCATAATTTGAATTATAAGTATAATCTGGATGGGAATAACCTTAACAGTGTTGTAAAGGAAAGGGATCTTGGTGTAATATTCAATCAGTCCCTAAAGCTATCCAAGCAATGTGCTGTTGCTATTGATAGGGCAAATAGTATTTTAGGTTCTATCTACAGAAATACTGAATACAAGTCTAAAGAGGTTATAATTTCATTGTACAAGTCACTGGTTAGGCCAGATTTGGAATATTGTGTTCAGTCTTGGGCCCGT